ATTATTTTTTCTTTTGAACTGATGATGGAACATACCGATCCAAGCAAATGAATTGAGACCAAAGTATCCGACCTCCAATGATATATGCGCCTGCTCAACTGGTGAGGTTATGCTGACCAAATCACCGCCTTGTTTCTGACAATTACTTCTTGCAAGCACCCAGCTCTTTTTGTTGCTATTAAATTGGTAGCAATATTGACCAAACTCTTTCCATCCTAACGTGCATGTTCCAAGCTCTAAGAGTAGATAAAATTCGTTATTCTGACAGAAAGCACCATTCCAGTCAGTCACAAGATCCCAGCGCCATCTTGAAAGGTAGAAATGTATCTTTTTTTGCATGCATTGAAGGGACACCGGTTGAGTTTGCAGTAGTATATACGTTTCTTCACGCCTTGACTATCATTCGTAGTTGTCGAGCTTTACCAGTGTCTCGCTTCAATGCATTGCATTGTCACGCTACCTTTTCAAGAAGGCATTAGGAACTATCAAAAGAAGTAAGCCGTTCCTAAAGTCAAAAAGTTAGATTTGTAAGTTAGCTTCACTATACTGTCTGATAGTCCTTGATATCTCTTTTTTTACCTGCAAGGTAAATATCATTGATTTCTGATGGATCAAGCAATCTTTTCCATATTCCTAACGACCTCATGAAATAGTACCCAACTTGAAAACGCTTTAACTTGCTGCCGACCGTCAAAACGTAATTGTTTGATGGGTGAGTTGGAGTTRATATTGTCCCTGATACATCAGATGCCCTATCAATRAACAAATCTTTTGGATTAGAAGTTTGTATTGTAAAAAAATCACTGGAACAAAAGATCCATGTCCAATGTACCATTAAAAAAGTATACAAATCTAGATTTACAAAGACTTTACAGGAACAACAACCTGAAAATTCTCGACTAACTGCACATTTTTTGGAGGTCTCTCTTTTCTTACTTGCTGTGGGATATTGTCGTTAGCATATTGAGTGTTGTTTAAATGCCCGAAATTACTATATTTTTCTAACAGCTGATCCRGCTGATAAACGGCTGGAACATTRCAATCTTGACTGAACATTTTCATTTCATTTAATAATCGCAAAGCCATTGCGTCAAAAMGTTTTCCTTGGGAAAAAACTATGGTACTGAATTTATTTTACTGTCTTTTTATAAGATTTTCCCTTTCTCCTTTTCATATTTTTATATAGAAATCTATTATTCTTAAAGGTACGGTAATACGAGCAGCAAAATCGTCCAACTTGTCTCGCAACAGWTAATAAGCGATGTTGCGCGTTTTACTAGCGGCGAACCAAATTGTCTCGCATCGAAATAATTTGATGCACGTTGAGCAAAACCTTTTTTCTGATTGACCAATGCAGTTAACTGATTRTCGCGCGACGTCACTTTGCTGCGAGACAAGTTGGGTTGATATAGTAATACGGGCAACATCTTCGAGTTTTGTTGCAAAAAAGTAGAGAACCATCTTCTACTTTCTGCAGCAAACTTTTTCAACTAACCTGACAGTCCGTATGAAGTGTCAAATTCGACGAAAAGAGACCAGATTTCAAGACTTTTTGAAGAAATGCAATGATATTAGAAATAATCCTAAAAACCTACAATGGAATCTAAGAAATAAAATATATATATGTGACCTTTCTGTGTATTCTTCGTGAGAAAATTTGAAAATCCAAAAGTATGTATTTTTGCCTTTGAAGAGTTGAAGTTGAGCATCAAAATAGACTGGCGATCCATGTTTTGAACACGCCTCGCTCAAAAAARGTGGGCCTCCTGCATGACTTATCTAGTTAATGAAAAACCTACCATCGAATTTATGAAATAAAATGACCTTTCTGTGTATTCTTCGTGAGAAAATTTGAAAATCCAAGTATGTATTTTCGCCTTTGAAGAGCTTGAGTTGAGCATCAAAATAGCCAGGMGATCACAGGTAGCCCAAGCTAGGCATTTGTGTACTAATTTTTAGAAATATTTAAAATATAACAAAAATAAACATCTCTACCTGTGCATTGTGTTTTTCTTTACATTTCTGTGAAGTTTCAGGCCATTTCCTTCAATTTTAAGTGATTTATGCACGTGGTTTTGATTATTCTTATGAAGGCTATTGAAGTTAAAGCTATGTTGAAGAGTCCCAGGGTTTCGGAGAGCAAAATACGAGATAATTTTTTAAAGCGTTTTGCTTTTCTAATGACCGATAAACCTATATATTCTTTTTAAAAAATGACGTATTTGTGCTCTTTTTCGGCCTCTTCATTTATAACATATCAAAAGATCTAATCTCAGACATCTAAGCAAATGTCACCCGATGTATGACAATAAGTTTGATATGATTTTGCTACAAAAAAAAGTTGGTTCGCCGCTAGTAAAACGCGCAACATCGCTTTGCCACTTGTTTTGCAGCAATTTTGMGAGACAAGTTGGATAATTTTGCTGCTCGTATTACCGTACTTTAAGTCTCACAATATTTTTGTCTTACTTTTGCTTTCCATCGACGTAGAGCTTTAACCCTACACCACTCAACCATGTAAACGCCACGTGATGCCACATTCCAGTACTAATAGAAGTAGAAACTTTCCAGCTAGACCTTGTTGTAAATATTGTTACTTTGAGTGCTCCTTGTTCCATGTACACAGCAAATCCACGTGACTTAGCTAGGTTAGAATCTCCAATAGAGTCAACCAGAAAAGTCCTTTGGGTCCATGTCGAAGAGTTTAGATTTAAAATCAAAGAAACGCTTAGTCCCGAATTACAAACTTCTGCATCACCTATGCATTGATCCTGATACTCCCCTGCCAGGAAATATGCTTGAGAGGTACTCATTCTTAAAGCTGGCTTCTGGTCTGAGAACACTGCTTTACTGATATCACCACTTACAGTAGCGGGAACAGTTCCCAATGCCTTCCCATCGACCAGACCATTAAGAGGCCAAAAACYGTCTGTAGTACTAATCCAATCTAACAAAGATCAATCCCTCTATTATTATTGGCTAATAATTTTTTTTACCACAATTGTAAATTTTCACGATTTGTGATTGGTCGAGAGCCGTGGTGATTTGCCATTTTTTCTGGAATTGTTATCTAATTGTAGAGCATTTTTGCGGTACAAAGGAAATTTTTGATTTTTTTTATGGTATGTCCTCTCATTTTACACASTTGGCGCCATTATCTCATCGTCAAAATGTTGTTTGTCCACTCGACTTCGTYAGAATGAGGTCAACCATGGTAATATACCACGTGAAACTATCACAAATTTGTTTAAAATCGTTAATACTTAGATCATAAAAATTGTTGTTGGTTTCTCTAAGGTCGYATTCGATCATGCATGAATGGGAACTTACTGGCTGTCTTTGAGTATTTCTTAATATTCTGAACACCTACAAAAACAATTGGACAACAGATGATAACACAATAATAATTTAAAATGATCCAAATCCAATAAAAGCATTTTAACGGAGGTCGAAATTGAAATTAAAATGGACAAAGTAAGCTAGCGAGTGAGYGCAAGGTTGAGAGGTTAAGCATTTGCAACTACAAGGAGATATATGACTTTAAAAAGCATCGTTAACTTACCTGATATTTTTCTTTTGCAAATATAAGGCTTGTACTGCCCGCAGTCAATGTCTCTCCAAGCTAATCGAMTGGGGACCAATTCTACGCATGCTTTCGCATCTTTTGAAAAAGAAWTTTATGTTAGAAATTGAAGACCATGACTATTGAAACCTGGTGACATCACTCTTCATAATTCTGCTTCGTAACTTACTGGAGGAATCCTTTGGGTACCCAGAATCCCATCTGGTCACAACAAATGGACTTTGATCGCTCCACTGAAATAATCGGTTGCTTTCTCTATCATTGAGTCCAATCCAAAACGAGCTGATTGAGTTAGCTAGAACTTTCATTCTTTTGTCGATGTATATCCTTTCATTGTCCGTTACGATACTAAGCAGATCACCACCTTGGCTTGTACATGATGCACGGGCATCTAATGACAAAAAGCAATAATCAACAAACAASAAAATGAAAAGRATCCTTTATCAAGAAAATAACGCAACAATAACAAAAYAAACACAAGTTCTTACCCGCCCATATCTTTAACCGATTRGTATTGTATTGATAACATGTATTGTCCGGCCCTTCTTCCCAACCTTTGCGACACTTCTTAGAATCCACTGAATACAAATAGAAAAAAGTGAAAACCTTATTTATAGTTCTTAAGAATAGATAGAAAAATATGTTACATCAAAGATTAATATATGAATATTAATTTGCACTAACTTCCAAGGAATTGGTTCTTTTTGAACAGCTAACATATTACWTGCTGTATATGGTAGTTACTGACAATCGTTCACAAAAAAACTTGGACCAKAGAATTATTGTTCTGCAGCCTAACATTGTTCTCCTATATTTTTTCACAGTTCTCCCCCTTAGCCCCCTTTCATCAATGTTGGGTCTTGTTTTGTATGGTCTGTTGGGGTTGCTTAAAATGAGGAAATTCGCTGGAATAGTCCATGGGTTTTGCCAGCTGTGTCATGGTAGTTATCTGCATAAGCTTCCGAATTAAATTATGCATGCATGTTGCTTTTTGTTGCTGTTATTGCTACTGTTTTGCTTTGCTTTGTTTTGTTTTGTTTTTGTTTTTGTTTTTGTGTTGTTGTTGTTTGTGTAGTTGTTGTTGTTGTTGTTGATTTTTTTTTTGCGGTAATATCAAATTCTTTCAAAGAAAACGCCTCACCTTGTCCATCACAGCCGAATATTTCTGTTCTCATACAAATGCTATTATTCCAAGTCAGGGGGTAGAACCTGATGAATCTACAGGTAAACGCTTCAGGTAATATCACTTGAGTGACGTCATCGGAGTTACTGCTGCCTTTCAAAATCTATACATAAACATATACGAAAACATAGTTAAGTGCTTTTAAGCTTAAAAGTGTTGGGCTTCGGRTACCGCACTCCCCCTGAAAGGTAGCCGTGCCTTTACATCGAAACGAGAAGACCATTGACCGTGAAATGATAGGAACATTCTTTCACACCTACCGACAATTATTCACAGGTATCTATCCGAGTCATTACACTCTGAACGGTCGGCTGGAATGGATGCAAGTGCATGGTTACCTTTCAAAATTGCGCAGGGAAGAAGACAATATTAATATTGGTGGTAGCTTTTTTCGATACGTCAACACACTTTCATTATTGTTTACCAATTATAAAATGCAGTAAATTTTAAAATACTGTACTTGTTACTTACTGCATAACTTGTAGTTTTATTTTCTCCATAGGTGATAAAGTTTTGGCCGTCACTACTATATCTCAGGTAGAAGGTTTTTACAAAGTCTGATGACTTCGGTCTTCCTTGAATGGCAACATGCGTGACCTTCCTGGCAAGGCCAAGGTCGACTTGGAGATATTGACCCTAGAACATTTCAACATTCATTATTTATAAATTAATAAATCTCTGAACCATTTACATCATGCCGTATGTGCAATGCATTGTAGGATATGGTGGGAACTAGCGGTAAACTAGTGTGAGCTGCGTCGGTGTTTCTAAAGAAACAGTTGTGTAAAAAGATAAATTTAACACCGTAAAAAAGTATGTGAAATAACTTACTGACGTTTCGGACGTTAATCCTTCGTCGGAGTAAAAGCCGGCATTGTAGGATATGTTTGGCATAAAACATGGCGGATTGTTTTCTCTAAAAACTGATCCCAAAATGCATTGCAAATCACGTACGTGGCAAAAGCCTATTGAAATGAATCAGCTTTACACATGCAGTCAATCCCGCTAACATTGTTCGGTAGTAAAGACGTGAAGACAACAACAAAGTCATTTGCTTACATCATATTAATTCTTTGCAAAAATATTCAACCATAGAGTACCAAACAYTCTTTACAATMTCAATAACCTTTAATTCGATATATCTAAAATTTAGAAYTAAAGTTCCTCATGGAATTCTGAAAACCGCTTTATGCAAATGACTTTTTGTCTACACATGTGAACAACGTTAATAGGATTGACTGTAAACCGATGTAAATATGCTAATAAAATCCTGAGCTATTCAGTCTACATACGGTTTCTAGACATAAAGAGTACGTTCACGTACAATATAACTAAATAGACAAGCGCTTAACTACAACGCCTTCATCTAGTSGCCGTTTCCAGACAGGTAAGTGAGAGTAAAAGAAGGAGGAAGGCGCTTTCACGATTTCACGGAAACGCTGAAGCAAGTTTAAAGAAGCCTAATGKGGCTAACCAATTCAGAGTYACTAAAATTTGTTCAATAAAAAAGTAAGCATAGCTGTTAAACACACTGGCGTTATATTGCATTTTGTACCTTAGCGTTGCTGTTCGCACACCAGGCTCCTAAAGACATACTAGAGGGTTGGAGCTTGAGTCTTGCTTGTGAGGGCGCTGAGTTGCTTCCTTTCATACTACTTGCTGTTATCTGAGCGTCAGTAATTTGAAAAGTTTGCATCCCAAGRGGTGAATTACACTGATCGTGGCCTTTGGAAATAGAAAAGAAATCAGTAAAATACATGATAGAGAAGCAAGATGAAATCGATTTGTAATTCGTGCTACCAATGAATCCACCACAAGTAGCAGAGGCAAAGTATATTTTACCTGATATTCAAATCGATCAGAAAACAAAGGAAAATGAATAGAGGTATCATAATCATTGCAATTATTTGGACGATGCCAACGGATCTAGTTGATGCAAAGCACCAAATAAAATAATATGGCTGGCTGTTTAAGAAGCTCTGGGTTGGAACCAAAGGAAACGTCTAACACGTCTTGATCTTTATACCAAATCTCAATGCACCCAATTATGGATGTAACAAGTAATTTTCATGTATAATACTCAAAAAACTCATTCGCATATTTGAGACCTTTCTGAGGATAGAAACCATTTTACGGACCTGCAGACAATTATTMACAGATTGCGCACTCAACGTTCGTCTTGCTTCGATGCGAAGGCACGGCTCAGTGCCAGGGAACCGTGACGGACACTATTGKCGCCAAACTCACCTCTATTTCTTTTACAGACATAAGGACGTTTGTAGGAGCAATTCTGAGTACCCCACGTGCCATTAACAGCACCTGTTACTAAAAGAACACAGTCTTTGGAGGCCGCCTGTAAACCGCTTCCTGGTTCATTGTTCATCCAGTTCTTATAAGTAAAAGTCGACCTAAAACAAAGACATCCCGTAAAAGTGAGCCGCTGTTAGTGGTTTTATTGATACACTCAAACAGGATGTTTTAAAAAACATGTGAGGATAAGGGATATTAAATGTCCACTAATATGGGTTATAGGTGAGTTTTGGACATTCTTTCCTAAACATGTAAAAAATAAGAAAAAATGAAAAAARTAAACACCAGTGTTAATGGGTTACAACAGTTTACCTGTCACTCCATACAAAAAATCCTTCCTTATCCTTATCATTCAGGCCCAACCAGACATTACCAGCCTTAAGATCCTGTAGCTGCTGCCATACAAACATTTGTTCATCCGAACTAAGTATACTGGYCAATTGAGCACCATCTGTTGATTTACAGGAATCACGTGCTTGAGKCCAGGTTATTGCTTGAGCTGGATGTGTGTTAAACTCAAAACATGCGTCTCCGAACGTTACCCAGTTAACAGGACAAAGGCTTTGACCTGAAAAATAAATAGAAACGTTCAGTGGATGGCAGTGAGTAAGTATAGGCTTGGTATGTCCTCTTATTAAAAACGCGATAAAAAAYCGCGGTCACAATACAAACTTTGGATTAAAAATCCATGCTTATGAATACAGCATTCACTACAACTTTTTACTTCAGTGGAATGTCGAGCTCCGAGGGTTTCAATAGTCGACTAGCACTCTGATATATTGGATTATCTGTATTTTTCCACAAATTTGAAACAGAAATMAAAAATGCATGACATGACACAAACCATTAGGTATTTCGCAGATATATGGTCTTATCTTGTTGCAGTATTGGTCATTCCACAAGCCGGCCAAGAGACCACTATATATTTGGACGCAATCTTCTTTCCCACTAAAATCATTAGGTTCTCCTGTAAACCAGTTTGTGAAGTTGATTTTCGTGTTGTCGCCGTCCCACACGAACGTCCCTTCGATAGCTCGGTCATTTAGCCCCATCCAGTACGGCTAGAAAAATGTACACTAGAATCAAAACTCTTTATAAAAGTATCTTCTTAGCCCTCTCATCAAATGAACATTGTTTAACGCAAAATATGGATATAGGTCTTTATGCTGTGATAGTTGACTGCGGAACTGTGGATGTTCCGAAAAACAAATTTTATGACGCTTTTAGGGCAACAGCATATAATGCGCTCTTGTTTTATTAGTCAACAGAAAAAAWTCCGAAACGGCGCGTTTTCTTTGCACTGGCATAGTAGCCACGTCGCGTGGTCGTCTCTCGACCATTAAGAGCAGAGGAACATTTGTTTGACACGTTTGGGTAAGACATCCAGATGCGTATGGTCGGTCCTGAAAATGACTATACTACTCGCAGTACAGATAACATTACCTGGGTAAGCGTTCTAAGTCTGTAGGACAAGTAGTGCTGTTCATCTCCATTGTTCACCTTCACTAAATATCCCCCTGAATTACGACAAGCCTTACTCGCCTGCAGCCATGTTTTCGATGCTTTAGAAAACATATAACAAGAACCTCCGTAGCTCTCCCACCCTGCTCCACAGTACACCGGTTCTTTGAGAAAAAATGGTGATTATTATTTATAATTCAGTGATTTTTCATATGCCAGAGAACTAACATCAGTAATCTGTAGTATTAAAGTATGAGTTGGTGTTTTTGAAGGGCAAATAAAGTGCAATTGAAATTACAAATACCGTGGGATGCCATTATGTTCCTTGATTTTTATCTTTAATGCACAGAACACACAATAAGTACTTACTTTGTGTTACGGGTGGCAAGATGGGCCCTTGCGTTGGCCATGGAGCACCTTATAGCAGAAACAAAATGCATTTCACGATTTTATTTCATTGACCCAAATAGATGGAATAGATTACTCCGATGGATGGGTAAATATATATCAATGTAAAACTAGTGGTGAGAGGAACTAACGTTGTGACAAGGTCAGAAATTCTTGCGTTACAGAAAATACCATATTTGGAAATACGCACGTGAGCAATCATACATAGTTTGTATGATCGATCACGGGCTTTTGGAGACTCCTTGTTTCGAGTCGTGAGAAATTCTTGTTCATGGACAAAATAACACGCTATTTACTTACTTGAGTCTTTAATTGCTAGTCAAATAAGCTTGTGATGAATAAACATGAATTTATGGTCTGCTGAGTCCATTTCTTTCCATATTTATAGTAACAGTTACGACTAACCTCGCGCCATTTTGAATTATACACTGGTATTCACCAGTCCTACCGTCCGATCAAATTGCGTGGTTCCCTAGCTAAAACTCAACCGCCAAACATAAAAACCCCCAGGGTAGGCCCTAAGTG